GCACGATTACTTTCCATTTTTGCACCGTTAAGATTAAGCGCAGTTGTTATTATATTGAACTGATACATGGCAGATAACTAGCATTTTTTACTCCAGGACTATTTAGCGAGTTACAAATTTTCGCGGACGTCCTCCATGGATAACTTATTTAAAGCTCAACCTGGTGCGACTTATATCCCCTACACCTGCTTAGTCACTTCACGTCTCTCAGGTAAATAAACCCTAATGCCACGAACCTGTGGGAATTCATTGATTCTCTTATTAGACGTGTCACACGGTATTGCTAACTCAGCAGTACCATTACATCGCACAAGAATAAGACATTTAAAATAGGGCCGGATCCTGGTCTCTCTGTCTGCAAAATTTTCGAGCATGTAACAACGGGATTTTGCCCTACACATAGTTACACACATATACATCCAGCTGTAGTTTTCTGTCTCATCCGTTATACTTTCAAAAACTGCAAGATTTTATCGCTCATTCCTTTGGCCACCCTAGACACTTGGAAGACCGCAATATGAGATTACATTTTTCTGTTACCGCTTCTGCCCCCCCGAGCTCTGCACTTGTCAATATCTTTGCTATTTTGTTTGGTGTTTCCCATGACATGAACACCTCACAGCTTGACGCCCACGCTGATAGTGTTCCGAAACCTTGCAATGATAGTCTTATAACTCACCAAATGCGCATTTGATTATAGTTCCTGGCACTCAACTTTCCACTTCTAGATTTATGGCGTTTCAGCCGTGCTGTAAGTCGTATTAAAAAGCCCTGCATAGGAAAAGACAGCGTGAAACGCTTTCTTTTATTCAAATCACCAGCATGTTTAGCAGAACTCTCGACATTGTGACCAATGCCCCCTTCACAAGATGCGCAATCACGTCTTTGCCATCATTAATGCTGTTTACAACTTTGAGAATCGCACATATCTACGAAATACACGACGCCCCAAGGCTTTTTACCCTCAGCAACCGCAAGGTACAATAGAGCACAAATCTTTTTTTGGCAAAAGTCTTATGTGGACGATCCCCCCGGACGGTTGGTCGGTTTGCACTGCGTGAGAGCCCGACTCATGGCGCTTGATCGAGATGATCTGAATACACATAGGACGAAGAGTTGTAGCACTGCCATAGATATGATATGTGCGTGTGCCATGGCGCTGTTCTGTAGCTAGAAGATCGCTTGTGCTCCACTTTTCGCATTATAATCGTTCCCAGCGGCACAAAATTTGTCTTCAAATTCACCGCATCCTCGAAGACGTTGGAAGGACGGACACAAAGACTTCAGCACAAGCCGACACTGTACTGAGACCATGAAAACCGCTTTCGAACCGGAGTTTGCCGCCATCGCCGAAGCCAGAGTCTCGACTTTTGCACGATACCCACTTATCATTTGCCTCTCTACAAAAAATCGATCGCACGCGGTACACTAAGATTATAAATACAAACACTGTAGCTTCAACCTTCCTATTTGAAAAATGATTTTTTTTCCTGGAAAGTATTGGGCAAGTGCCCTTCCTCAGACACCTAGCTGGGATACTGTGTCGTGGCACGCTGATGATCGTCTGGGCGTGTCCGAGATCACGACGTACCAATCTATCTTCCCCAGAGATAGATTTTCCGCTCCATTGCCTTCGACTTGAGTGGTTAACGGGAACGATCTCACTGCGAGAGTCGGTTTGGGTTCTTGCAGACACGTTCGTGTAGGCATCTACCCAGCATTTTGTTTCGGCCAGCAAACAACAGCTGTTTAATAACCACTTTCAACCTTTGGATCGCTGTTTGTGCTATCATGTTGGGATCAACAAGAGATAGAAGCTGTTTCAGCGTCTTGAATACAAATCGCGGAGCAGCTGGCATTTATCATATCCACAGATAATTCTGTTTTATGAGACTTAGCCATCAAAAATATTCCTAAAGTGGCACCAAGTCGCTCAGATCACCGCTGCTCTTCGCTCAGCCGTATCAAACGCAAATATATTCTCTCATATACTTGCCACTCGTGAAAGACAACGGAATTTCTGCGGTTTTTTGTGGGATCGTAATATAGACAGTATATAACCATAATTGGACAAAGAGTCACAGCTCCATCAGTACAATGCTTCAGCCAGTCCTCAGTATCCACCGTTCAAGTAAGAGCCAGGTCACGTAAGATATATTTTTTTCGTCTATCGATTACATTTGCGAGCTCGTACCCTAGCACAGAAAGACCTAAAACTTTAAATAAGACAGATGAAATCTGCACGACAGGCGATTCGATCTCATAGTAAGCGAGATTCAGTTCAGCTAGGTACCGACCTTTAAGTAAAATTTCCTTAACTCCAATATAATTTAAAAGACACTGCCATTTATCCTTGGTTGGATCAAGACCTCAACCAAACGTTTTAGTTGACAAAACACCAACAAAAATGTAGCCATACTTTACCTCAGACTTTATTTTAAGTTGAACCTCTCGTATGGCATGTTGCCTTTCTCGCTGTGATGACCCCAGGTCCAAAGATGATCCGCCATTGTCCGCTTATTTGACCGTCATTCTATCGACGACCATGCTGCCTTCAAGCCGCTTTGTAGCAGGAAATTCTTTCTACAACTACGATATATACGGTGGCTTACGTTCAGGCGGTCTGGTGCGCTTCTTTTCCTCCGAGTTCGTGGGTCTTGTGGCTGCTACGTTTACATCGTCATTTGTATACATTGGCGTTCGCTACGGTTTGTTGCCCATGATAAGCAGCAAATTGCAGCTGAGTGAGAGCCAGACGGAGGCAATGGATCGACTCGTAGAGGTGCCTGCTGCAATGGCATTTTTCGTAGGACTTTACGCTGACGCGGTGCCGCTTTGGGGCTCGAGACGCAAATCCTACATGTTTTTAGGCATGACATTCAGTCTGTTGTGTTTAACACTCATTGGACTCGGCTGCCTCTTCACTGAGGTTCTCGAAGAAGCATTGGGTGGCAGCTTTAGCTTCATAATGATGTTACTTATGGGCGGTGTGAGCTTCGGCTCCATGATCAATTTTAGTTCTGTACACACTGCAGTTGTAACCTTATCACAACGGGAGAGCCTCGAAAGACGAGGCGTGTTCCAGGCCGAGTATTTGATTGCGCGAGTGGCGGGACAAATTTCGGCTAGACTATTGGGGTATGTGATTCAGACTGTCGTAGAGAAGCTCCAAATCGCGCTCATATTGTCAGCTTTGATGTCGCTGTCTGTTATTACAATCATCGTTGTATTCGCAAAACTTGATGAACCACTGGCGTACCAAAAAGAAAGTTTGAGATGCAAATGTGAAAGTTACTGGAAACTTACGACGCAAAAAGCCGTATGGAAAATTCTGGTAGTGATTGCGAGTTTTGCTTTTTGCCTTAATTTTGCCTTTCCAATGGCGTCAAATGCACTCAGACAATGGACAGACTCAGCGGATAGCACATCAGTGTTGTTAAGTCACAGCTTGAACGATTTTGTCACGATACTTGCAGTTTTGTTGTGGAGATGGAGATTCCGCAACATGCTGTGGCGAAAGTTCTTTGCTGTGGCACCTACAATGGTAGTTGTACCTCAATTATTTATTGCTGCTTTCGTGATTCCATCCTTGTATCGCCATTCAGCCATTTACATTATTTTAACGGGTTTAAATGGAATATCGTCGGGTGTCATGGCTCTTGCAGTACTTGTCCCCGTTACTGAAATCATTGAAGAAGGCTCGGAAGGAGGCGTCGTTGGTCTCGCACTCTCCTTTAACACCATTTTCAAAATCTTTGTAAGCACTTTGCTTACATCCATCGAGCGCACATCGTACTTTCCGTCTAGTGACGAAGAGGACACGACACAGCGTCGCTGGACCATTGCCGTCCTTGTAGCTGTTTCGTGTATAGTCAACTGCTTTGCCTTTGGTGCCATTCCAATGTTGCCGATACAAAAGTTGGACGCACAGCTGGTCCGCATGTACGGAGGATTTACAGAGTATGCTAGTGCTTATATCGCTGCCGCATTCCTTACGTCGCTCGCATACTGCGTCGCGTATAACATAACCATCTTCAGTGACGCCGTAAACTGAATTTAAAAAGCTCTTCTCATGTTCTTGATACTCCGTTAACACATTGGCTACAATTTGATGTACCCATTTTTAATTTACGATCACGCAGTTGATGTGTACATATCATGTGTCAAAAGAGTCTGTCCCTTTATTAAATAGAAGAGAATTACTTTTCGTTACATTCCTACAATTCCAATGCATTCCGCCAATTCTACCACCAAGCGGTGGAATATCGACCCAGCACTTGAGCCGGAGGATGAGTACGTGCCTAATCAAGCTGTACACCCAAGTATTGAGCTTGAACCTCCTTGGACGTATCCCGGACTCGTGATTGGTTCCAGCTACGTACTGCTGCTTTTTCTCTGCGCTTTCTTAAATACCACCTTCTTACTGTGGCCGGTGACAGTTTTGAGGTGGAGTCACATCCTCTCGGCTCGCAGCTGTCGTCACGTATGTCGATTTTTTGAAAATTTATATTTTGCCATGTTAAGCGGTTGTCTAGAGCTGCTTGGAGGCGTCAAAATAATTCTTACTGGTGATGAAATTCCACAATCTAACCCGCAAGAGCACATGCTTTTGATTTGCAATCATCGATCTGAAGTCGATTGGATTTTCTTTTGGAATCTAGCACTGCGCTATGGTGTGCATGATCGCATTCGAGTTATGCTTAAGAGTATAATTCGTTACACTCCTGGTGTCGGGTGGGCTATGTTACTACTACAATATCCGTATGTTAATCGAAACTGGGCTACAGATCAGATAAGGTTAACCAGGTTAATCCAATCATATCGAGAAGTAGACATTGGCTCATGGCTTGCCATGTTTCCTGAAGGAACAGCGTTAAATGACAAGACGCTTCAGAAAAGTCAAGCCTATGCCGAAAAACAAGGTGAAGAGTTATGGAACTATGTACTACAGCCCCGCTATAAGGGTTTTGAGTTGTGTTTTAAGAAGTTGGATCCAGAGTATGTTTTTGATCTCACCGTGGCGTATCCAGAGCTCATGAAGGGTATCCGACCGTCTCCGGTATGCTAGACGAAAATGTAGCTCAAATTCCGTGATGATTTGAAATCTGTGTATTGCTGTCTTAGAAGCGGATTATCAGGGGACAATTTTCACCTGAGGTGCATATAAACGTAAAGCGATATCACCAGTCGTTGTTGTTGAAGCATAAGGATCAAATGGGTCGATGGTAACATCCAGTTGTGTGATGGATACGAAATTTGGTGCTAAATACCTACTGACTTGTAATTACAGGCTAAAGGATCGCTTCGCTGAAAAAGAACAGCGATTGCAAAGTTTTTACGAAACTGGCGCGTTTGAAGGCGAGCAGCGCGTGTGCAAAAAAATTCCGCTATGGAGTCTCGTGGTCCCATGCACTGTTTTTAATCTGATGCTGTGCGGTGTTGCGCTTTATCTATTGATCAAATCTCCCCATGTTGCGTGCTTTATTTTTGTATCTAGTGCTGCACTATCGATTATTCAAGCTTGGAACTTTGGCGATTGAGCAAAATCAATCACAATTTAATTATAATTGAGATAGTAGTCATGCCAGTTAAATTGGTTTGGTCTGGTTCTAGACATTTTATAGAGCCAATATGCTCGCTTTTCTATGAGCTGTAAGCTTCCACGCTCAACCTTTTGATAGCGTGACTTCACTGACTTAGCTCAACGAATTTCGCGTAAAAAATACGCAAAAATGGTTCGAAATTTGAGTTGTTGTAATCAAAATGATTGATTACGTCCTGCAAGTCAGCAGCAATACCAGAAAAGCTATATATCCACGAACGAAAAAATATCTTTTAAACAGTGCATATTATGAATTAAAAATATTTGGAATAATAATCCAAGCGTGTATACTCCGAGGCAACGATATTCTGAGGTTCGTGGAATTAAGCTTAACAAAACTTGCCATGGTAAATGTATATTGATCGACCCTCAATCACGCGTCGAGCTCCCTTTATCACTACCAACTCTAAAGTCAACGGAATCATCTTATTAGTGGCAAAGTAGTTGTGGTTTAGAAATATGGTTGAGACTTGAAAGTGTCGCCCACGTGAACAGTAGTGACAGAAGATATTATTCTAGAGTAGTTTATTATTGCTGTAGTCATCAATGATAACTAGCTATCAGAGCTTAATGGAGTATGACGCACCTGATCTACTTTGGGAGGAGTATCTGGATCAGCAAATGTGATGAATTCTTCCAACTAGGAGATACTTACAAGCTCTTGATGCCGACCCCGAGCAATAATTTAATGGATAGGCAATTGATTACGTGGGTAGAATGCTTGAGAATGAAAATTTAAAGACTGTTTTCCCTGAAAAGCTTGGATTGAGCACGACATTCTTATAGGCTATGACGTATCGAAGCAGACTCGATTTTTTCGAATTCGGAGCCTCGAAGTCAGGAATAGCCCATATGACTGAAATTATCTGATCTATATAGAATTAAACAAATTGAGTTCCGGGTTTTTCATACCCACAGTCTACAATTCAATCATCCATTTGCTAGATATCGAACATACGACTATGCGCAGACACAATATTTGAGCAAGGATGTTTACAAGATGTGCTGTAGCGGAGTCATAGCGGGAACCGCTTCATACAGCAAAGCTTTGATTTTCAATTGGTTCGGCAATATCAGCGAAATCAATAGCTCTCGAGCTTCAACTATCACTGGAACGCTACAAACCGGATACCAACCCGATATAACCTCTCTCGACTTTTATATGGTTGCACGAACTTGCGCCAGGGCTCGACGTATCATAACCTATCAAGCTTTTTGACATCTTTTCCAACGCCCCTCTCACTTAATTGATGATGATGATGATGAAGGTAAGATATATTGTGTTACATATAGATGAACGACGTTATCCTTTCTCTTAGCTACACTACATTATTACGCGTTTCGACTAGGAGAGAGCCGGCGTTCAGCCGCCAAAGGCGGCTCGCCGGCTGGGTTTCGGAAGAAGTCCCGAGATCTAGCTTCTCTAGAACGGTGCTCCATCCAAGACAGCTGAGCACTGCAACCGAACGCTTGGAGCCAGTATTGCAGGTCTTGGTTGAGGTGTTCCGCAATGGCCTCCCAGTTTGGGTGAGAGGTGCTTCCTTCGCATTGTTGGGAATGACATGAATCCATTGCGATGTTTGCTGCGCGATCTGCCATTTTGTTGTATGCCCTTGGGTGATGGCACCAGCCGACGACCTGTAGCTTGCGAATCTGTTCGATGATCATTGAGCTGTCTGCGATCACGTAGAGCGGCGAGCATCCGTGTGACACTGCGTAGCGAACTCCATGATACAGGCCTGCATATTCTGCTTTGTTGTTCATGGCAGTCTAATGACCATGAGCCATATACGCGAACCAGATCATCGTAGGGGTCGAGACCTCGCGAGTTATGCGCACCAGTAACGAATCCGAACCGCCTGGACCAGGGTTGCCCCTTGACCCTCCGTCGAAGAAGAGGAGGTATACCGTGTCCATGATTGCAGGGAGATCCGCTTTGTTTGTGATCATAGCAACGATCGCCTTGAGTACCCCGACTGCTGAGTCCGTCGTCTTAGGGCATAGCGTGTCGAAGAGAATACAGAGGTCTCGGAGTCCCGTCGATAGGCGAGCCATTGTTATTCTAAAAAGCGTCCCCGGGTTGTCGCGTACGAAGGGGCTACCGTTCATGACCTAGATTCGGTTGTGCCAGACAGCCGCCACACACATCACACACATATATTGACACACCATGTTGGCCATTGGGTACATCAAGGTCGTTGCTTCCTCCGCAGACAGATCACTGAGCTATTGGTCCATTGCGAGCGCCAATCGAGCTGGATAAGTTTGTAGTCGAAGTGTGAAGATTGCTTCTAGAGGCTTGCCTTGAAAGCTGACACCGAAGCCTTCCCATTCTCTGATCAGGTGGTCCCACATTCTCTTGGCATGGAGGCATGTCCAGAAGACGTGAATCAGGTGAGTTCTGACCGACCCTGAACATGTCTCATGTGAACACGACAGGTTATTTGCTGTTCGGTTCCACAAGTTACCTAGAGTCCGGGCCTTGAGT